ATAGCATGAAGCAACAAGATTTTAACCGAATATACTGACTTCAGCAATTTCGCGTATTCTCTTCAGCTGTTTACTTACAATTAGTGAACTAAACAGATTACACAGTAAAGCTAATCAGGGTGCGATTTTAACGGTGAAAATTCAGAGCATTCGTAGGGCATTAGGCTCACGTGATCCGTTCCGAGAAAAACGCAATCACTAGCCTCATCAGCGGAGGGCGAGAGTGGTCACGAAATCCTTTTGTTTGCACAAAGTTACTTCCAACCGCCGAATCGTCGATCAGTCAGCAAACTGAAGTCAACGAGGATTAGTTTGTTTGCTAATTACCCTGAAGCTGCCACGTGGGTTTTGACATTCAGTGCAGTCAAGTATGTGGCGGACAACACAATTTAATGTGAATTGGAACGAGTCACCTCGACACTACAAGAAACTGGAAATCCTTCGCTATTCGTAGCATGGCACGCGAAACTACAATTGGTGAAAGCTCCTCGAACGTTTTTTATACGGTTCGTGACTCCATCTTCGCTGGTGTATCTGCCGAGATATTTGTATTCAACTCGTTACTTATACCCATGGAAATTCAAGAGCATAAGTTTGCGAATAGTACTCTTTTCGACATCTGGAGACCCAGTTTGAAAACATGATGCGGCAATTAAACAAGCTAACACCTACGTCACCACTTGCCAAAGATGCTTTCAGAACCACTGGTCCATCTTTCACAGCAGTATCTGAGTTACAAAACCAACTCTTCTTATGTCCTGACTAACACAGAGAAGCCATCAAGGAATTAAGGTCAAATCCTGATTTGATAATTTCTAGACTTGACAGGGGCTCCAGGTGGGTACTGATGGATAGATGCGACTACCTTTCCAAAATACAGTACCTTTTGCAAGACAAAAGTTATTTTGTGGAACGGTATAGAAAGATAAAATCGCGCAGGATGAACTTAAAATAACTCATGTGTTGTAAGAGCTGAAGTGTATGAACCAATGAGTTAGCGCGCTACTGGAACAGCTAACTCCATTGGATTCTTATCCTCCACCTCTGTGGACTACCTAAAGTACCTAAACCACAAGTCCTTCTGTGTCCGATAATCGACCTGTCGGTCTCGGCTACTCATTCGATTGCGAAATGGCTTTTGGGTTTGTTTGATCCTCTACGCAGAGTTATGTAAATATAGCGTTTGAATTTGTGTAACGAGTAGAATGCATGAAAGTGAATGACAAACCGATACTCCCTGGACGTTGAGTCACCTTTTAAGAATGTTCCATTGCTGGAAATTGTCAATTTTGTGTGAGATTACTTGAACGAAAAGAACGTAGATGTGGGCATTCCGATGAGGAACCTGAAGAAATTAATTTACAGTGTACCTTCAACAGATCTTTTTTATTTGGTGAAGTCTACTCCAGACTGACGCGATGGGGTCCCCTCTGGGGCCACTCCTAGCTGACCTTTTTCTCGCTATGTTTGAGCGACCCATCATCGCTTCGTTTGATTTCTATTGTCAATATATGGCTGATATGTTTATACTCTGCGGTTCAAACACTGATGTTCCCAACCTGTTAAGCCAGTTAAACAGTGTCCATCCATCATTGGACTTCACTATCGAAACCGAAAAAGATGGTAAGCTAGCTTTCTTAGACGTGTTGCTGAGCCGAAGAAACAACGATTCATTAGAACTGTATTCCGGAAGGCCACATGAGCAGGCCTTTGTACGCTTTGAAGTACAAACGTGATCTTGTTCGCTGTTTGTATTTTCGTGCTGCGAAAATTTACAGCCAAGAGACTAGAGGCGGAAAGGTTTGTATTCTCAAAATGCTGCGAGAAAACGGTTACCCAACACCGTTCATCAAAAGGCATGCAGTGATCCGTGATAACCGTGAATTGGTTACAAATGTCCCTAAGAAAGACATCTTCCTATCGGTTCCCTTCAAAGGCGATTTTACCTTTGATCTGCTGACCAGAAATATTTCTAGCGCAGTGGCTCGAACTTCCCGGCTGCCTGCCCACACATCCCTACAGAAACCGCTCCCTTTATGGCCCAACACGTAAAAGACTGACTTCCGGTTCAGTCCCAATCATACATCCTATATCAGTTTACCTGCGCCTGTGGTGCGAGGTATGTGGGACACACAACCAGGCGTCAGTCTAAAGGCATAGCAGAGCACTGCCCAGCGGCTTTACGAAAAGGCATTGACAGTCGCACCAACAGTTCCATTCTGGAACATCTGGTGGAAAGCGGACACCAAATTAGGACCGCTGATGTTTTCAAAGTACTTTATACAGTACCGGAACGGTACCATAAAGGCCTTAGGAAGCAAAGCTTACGTTCGGATGAAGCGATTGCGATTAGGATAGCACAACCGGAACTATGCAAACAAAAGCCTTTGCTGCAAGGGCTTTTTCTATCTTGGCCGTAGTTAGCTTGTCAACTTCTATCACTTCCTGCCCTGACAATGATCAGATGACTCGCTATATATGCGACCCATCATCCAACACGTGCTGTCACATGTGTAGTTAGCCGACTTTATCGATCAAGGATTTTGAGTTTCTGGCAGTCGTGATTCCACTATTTTCCCCTCTTTGGCTTCATCAACTCTTAGTGTTCTGATGTTCCGTTTTATCATTGTGACTTGTCAAAAAGAGTGCTTTTCGCAAACGTATGTTCTTATATTTGAATTTCGCGACGACTTTTAGCTGATCACCACCAAGGGTCAGCGCAGAAGTGGGTCCCTGCCAATCTTGAAGAAGGACTTTGCATTTCGAGGGTACACAGCATAGCCAGGAACGATTGACAATCCGAGCTGATTTATCCAATGCTGCTTGCCGTGTCTTGGGGCTGTCACAGATAGGAACAATGTTGTCGACCTACTCCAAGTATGAAGTTGATCACCTGGGAGCAGCCCTACACCCTCTAAGTCGTGCCCCGTGAACGCAGTTCTCATTACTTCGTCAATGGTGAACTTAAAGTGGAAAAGTGACAGCGGGCAACCTTGTTTCACACCGCTGGACATATTGAAGGTCGACGACTGCCATAAACCCGAACTGTGAGCATACAACACTATTATGACATTAACATATTTCTCCATCCACGGAATGGAACTCACCTTTGATATCCAGGAACAGGATAACAGTAAGTCGCCAGTAAACATACCGGTGTTCTAACCGTTGACGTACTATGAAGATGCGTTCAGTGTGGCCTCGATCTCGACGAAACCCGGCTTGCTCCTCGCGAATCTGGTTTTCACGGGTGCCAGTCAATCTACGTAGCACGACAGAGGCAATTAACTTATACGCAATGGTGATTGCCGCACTCCGAACGTGAGCGTCCCTTGAAAATTGAGACTATAACAGAGCGGCTCCAGTCTGTTGGGACAGTTTCCTGCTCCGACTGACTCACTGGTAAGTTACACACATCATCCATAAGAGTAGATCCACCGAATTTGAAGTGGGCTGGATGAAGTCCATCTGCTCCGGTGGCCTTGCACAATTTCAACCGTCTGATCGCACTTTTGATTTCTGCTCGTGAGGGCGGATCCAATAGGATGGCCCAGGGAGAAGGGCGATCAATAGCCGATAGAAGTTGGTAACTCTGACTGAGTAAACTGCTTTTCAGAAATTTCGGACCAACGCTCCAAACGCTTTATCAAGCTGCGTATCGGCTCTCCGTTTCCCGTATCAAACGGAATGACTTCCGGTGATTACTAAAGCCAGCAGCTGCCTCCATCTTCGAGGCACAATGAAACCACTAGGCTTCGCGGTCTCTCTACAGGCTGGCACACATTTTATCCCTGAGATCCTTCTGCGTCTCCTTGTGTTCGCTTCCAGCCGGCACACATCGTCGACCAAACTGGGTGCTATTGGTCCGTCTCGCCTTCCGGGCTGAAGTCCACGTGACTCGCCTTGTGCTTGGCTCGAGACTTTACAGGACATGGCTCGCAACCCACACCAGTGGCGCGTCTGCTGCCGTCTCCTAATCGGATTGCCTGTTTAAAGTGTGTTTGATGCTGAGTTATCTGCTGGGTAATGGCTGATTATAACGCGTGGCAGTGAAAGCCGCAAGGAAGCTGTCTCGCCGATACCGCCTTATCTTTGCACGATGGCCAGCTGTTTATGACGGTATGTTGTCTGCACAAGGTGTGGGCGCCTTGACCCTGAATGTTTGCTTAGGGCATTAAGGTTTTCAGGTAAGTCCCTCTTCTCTCCCTCTTCTTATTCTTTATTTCATAGGTCATCGTGGTAGTATGGCAGCGAAGCATCAGTTCAGATGGCTGATGTACTGCTGCTGCTGCTGCTGATGATGATGATGATGACACGTCGTCGAGCACCCGAAATTTCCAGAGACTGCATAGAAATCCAACGTCCAGGTTGGAAATTTGGCTTGCCACATGAAGACATGCATGCTGCTAATATCATCTGGTGCATATGCGAATAGTCCGGCCAGATGGCGACAACGAACACGCCACTATTGCAGATTGCGTGCTGTGTCTCATATTAAGAACAACTGTTATCACGTAGACTCCAACCTTGCTGACGAAACAAACCAATGGCGCCAAATTTCGCGGTGAATGACTTCGTTTCCAGCAGCAATCAGTGATTTTTTCCCAAACCTGACGCTACCGCGTTGAAAAGTATACCTCTTTCTGGAAAGCAGCGAACTGAATCATTGTGGAGATCGTCTTTTTTCACAACCTACAGAACGTTTACATATTTTCGATATCTGCTCCCTAATCGGCGAGACAGAAAGTTCACCACTTATCTTCCAAAGCTTCCTAGCTGTGTTGTGTAATTAGTTACTGATCAGCGGATCGATCGTGACCCCCAGTACTTTCCATCATAATAGAATCGTTACAATGCTGCCACTTTTTATGATTGTCCATAAGCCCTTGCCAGTATAGTGGGGACAGCGTTTCGTTCAGTATTGTCAGTCACGTCCACACTCACTTTCAATAACTTATGATTTATTATTCTAATGCTTGATACCATTTTACTATTGACCGATGTTACGCGTCTATGTTCTTGCTAAATTATCGATTTTTACGGATGTATTTTGTCGTCTCTTTTCTCCGTGTTTAGTTGGATTTCGAGCATTATTCAAACATGTCCCTTCCACGAAGCACGGTCATTCCGCCTGGAGGTCAGGAGTGGAACACTTCTCATCGCCCTTGCCTTCTTCGCCAGAAATCGCTACCGGTTTGACCGATTTGGCCGTTGACACAGTTGGTCTAGATAACGCATCCGGTCGTGCTACTTTAAACGTCAGCCGTGATGGCGATTCTCCTTCCTCCGAACTCACTAGATCCACCCAAAGCAGTGACATCTCTGACCGGGATCGGGTTGGAGTTTCAAATTCTCCCGATACGGTTGTTTTTAGTCGTTCCTCCACTCGGTCGCTGAATCGGCATATTATGATTTCAGAAGCCCGTCGCCGTCATCAAACCCACGACATCGGTGATGGCATTGCACCGACATTTTCAGATACGTAAGTCCACTTCCGGCACATCTATTTTTGACGTTTGTCCAGTGTGGTGTCGGGGCAGTTTGCTGGTATCCTGTCTATCTTCTACCCTACCTTTTATGGTTGTCGGCATATACCTTTTCAGTCTTTTAACCGGATCCTGTACTGCGCGCACCAAACGTCTAGCTACTCACTTGCGTTGTCCGAAGAACTACATTCTGATGCTTATCGTTGATTTCTGTTCCCTCATAAATGCAGGTCTGTTTAGCCGGTCATCATATTTAGCTAGTGATTTTCTTCATCAGGTGGCCTGATGTTTAGACTGATACCGGATAGCATCCCTGTACCGTAAGAAGGACTAGATGTTTCAAGAAGATGAAAGCTGACACAACTGTTTCCCTGTGGTCAACTTGCTTTTCCAGTCATAGTCAACATGTATTCCCCAATCGCAACATCTTTCTGGGATTTGCAACTTTCGTTTATTACTATTGCCTATATTTTTAGGGTACACTTCACAATCCTCGCGAAAATAAGAGGATGCATCAGTAGTAAACCGTTGATTTGCGTTTATGCTTTATTGCCATACAATCACAACAAGGGTTTGTGTTAGTCTGGACACTTACGTCACACAAACGCTGCAAACCGTACCCTCGTACTGTTATGCCATAGATCATTTTGCATCTCTTTATTTGCTGTAGGCATAGTCACTAGCCCTCCTTTGCCACATTTCGTCGAACTATCTCCCACACTTTTAGTTAACATCATCTTTCATTATTCCACGTCCTTGTGCTACGATGTCTCACATATTTTTATCGGATGAACGTTCGACATCTACTACCTCCATACGATCGAACACACGTATTCCTTTTCTAGTTACTCCGCAGTAGGCAGGCTAGCACAGTCTTGAGTGGTACGCACTTCTGAGCGGTGCTTTGTTATTTGACTGTATCTGTCTACACTCCGCACGCGATGCCACATGCTATACGTATATCGGTGTTTTTGAGGGCTCTAATCGATCTACCCTTCCGCGCAACTTTGCACCGTTGACCGTGATCCATGCGGTGGATCTTGTCCTGGTTTGCTGTAACGAACTTGAGAATTTAGAGGATATACGCATTTTCTTGTCACTAGACGACTACTCTTAATCAACCGTTGACCGGTCATTGGCCTCCAAACTACACCCGCCCCACTAGCTGACGTGCGTGTACCGAACGCGGACTAACCAACGTAAACAGTTCAAGCTAAGCAGTCCATCTACTGCCGCTTTGAAGTTCATGTTCCAGTACGCCAACCTGTGGATATCTGCACTGATCACTTATTCATCTCACTAGATCTGATGTATACTTAGCGAGCAGCGACGGTTGTGTACGATCACCCTTATTATTCTCAACTCATAGTAGCCAGGTTGCTGAAATCAACCTCAAAGTTGCTGTTCCGCTCCATGAGTGAGTGGGGCCACAAGACTTGGTGTGCCAAACGGTCTTTCGCGGTTTTCGTCATCAGCAACGGAACAGCTGTAGTATAGCAGATGAAAATTAGGTGTTACCCTCCCGAAAACACTGGACAACCACGACGCGTTTCGATATCATTTTATCTCATCAGGTGGAGATAGCAGGCCTCGAACCCGAAACCGTTGGAATAGTAGCTATGTCTACCTGTAGCTGTCATAGAGCTTTACTGCCACATGAGAACAGTTGCCTTACGGCGTGTGGCCCCAGGCAGCAGGTTGCACGAGGACAACATAGCGTCTGTGTTGTATCCGCCCCGGAAATTACTACTCACCCCGGTGATCAGAAAACCAAGACTGGCAGAGGTGCAGGTTTCTTTGCATTTAAAAATCAGCTGTTAATGTAGTGTTGAGCCAAATGAGTGCAGTAGATGGACTAAAAGGCGCATCGATTCAAATCCAATTAGAGCATAGCGTCTCTATCTCCTGCTAACAGGTCAGCATCTGTCCCCCTCAGATCTCGCACCACGCAACATCCAATTAATTAGGCCATTCTCGGTGAACAGCGTTCGGGCCTAAGTAGCACTGCTGTTTCTACTGTAAGCCTTGACACGGTCTGTTGCATTCGGATGCGGGGCTCATCAGGATGAAATGTTTCATGAACACGTGCAACTTAGCAAGTGCAGTGAAACTTCCGTAAGTGGATCACTCATGAGACGGGACTACAATGCTCAACATACAGAGGCCTAGTTCCACAAGTCCTACATGGTGAATGTTCAAGCAAGGACGAAAAATGGTCAACTTATGGGGATGGTTAACTTCGGAGGTTTTACGGCATGCAGAAGAAGACTGGGCGAACTTCCTGGTCAAACGCGCTCATGAGGTCACGGACACAACTGCAACTAAATACGATGCATCCCACGGCTTTATAGCGGCTGTTACGGGCTAAATACAAAATGTTTCCAGCCACCAGTGGTCGTTTTAGCCAATTGACTTTCACTCCATTTCCGTGTGTCTTGCTATGCGTTTGTTCGTTATACCTTGAAAGGTGCGCTACTGCATCAGGAGAGAGTAGTATGGTGGAAACGGCTAACTTCGAAAAGGACGCTACATATTGAGATGACACTTGTAGGTTAACCACGGATGCAGCTGGCGGGGAAGACTGCATCACGCAGCATCCAAGAAAGATCTTCGTGGCAACACAGCGTCATGCGTATTGGTTTTCCCAGTAAGCAGCTTCCCGTCCTTCTCTCATCAACATTTTGCACGTTACCTAGAGGTGATAACCCCCGCAATGCAATTCAATTCGGTGGCAGTAGCTGGAGAATGTGGAAGAAAACAAACCATAAAAACAATCGAACCAACATATCGCTACATTCCATCATATATTATGTATTGTCGTTGAGATTGTGGCGAGACGAGATGGTTGGCCGATATTGAGCAAAAAACCCCAACGACACATACGCCTAATAGTCCGTCCAGTTACATTGGGCTCAGAGACAACCACAAATTTTCTTCTGGATTCCAAATGGTTAACTGACCTTGATCTCGATTGGCTGATGCGGTGACGGTTTATAGTGTCACAATCAGCAGTTATCGCTTCGTGCATGGTGGCTGAGATCTTATTCCTCCGAAGCTCAGTGTTGTTAGGGCGAGAGTGCGAAGGTTCGCTACGCAGAGCATCCTGGTAAGCGTATCTATCCGAAGACTGAAATAACTTCTTAGTTGCCAATCCAGGGAGGCTTTTGGTATGCCTCCAATAAGATTCGTGGAGAAACGACAGCGCACCAAAGCGTGACCAGAGTCGACGCACCTATTTCAGGGCCAGCGACAGTCGAGAATGGAACCACATCACCTGTAACTTGTGGCAAGCTGATGTATTTGGGTCCATCGCTGACCAGCTATAGGGGGATGCCAAATGGCACCTCGCCATCCACTATGTGCTACTAAGAAATAGCTGGTGCTCCGTACTCAGTTGCAGCAAACGCTCGCCCTTGTCCGTCCGGTCGGCTCAAGAATTTCCTCTGCATATCGGACACGTTTTCTCCCCATTTCCAGCGTTGATGTTCCTGTCTACCATCGCCACACATCTCACATACTCATATGTTCAGGGATACTTGCTTCGAAATTTAAGCTACGAATCATATTTGTGTGAGCCGTTTCATGAACGTTAGCATATTCACAGCAGCAAAGTTTCCTTCCAAACCATCGCTCAACTTGAAGTGATGCCCTTCCTCAGAGAATTTCGATAGCTCATTGTATAACTGTTGCATGTGTAGGATAGTGGTCCTAGTAAACAATCATCATTTGTTCACTTATTTGCAGCGTCCATAGAGTTCATCGTCATCATCATCATCATCATCGGCAAGTCTGCGATGATTGTACTAAAGCGACGCACGGACGATGGAGGAAGAAATCTCCGTATTGTAAATTTCGGGTAGTCAACCGGATTCGTCCGCGAATCCGGATCAACAGGATTGTGATGCTTCCGACGCGCCTAGCGGTTCCTGCCGCGGCCTGCGCGTAGCCTTTACTAACGTCTGTAAACGCGATGAGCTGTGCTACTTTGTAACCTCTCAGCGGTCAGACTTATTAGGCCTTGCTGTGACATGGTTGAACTCCGACGTAACCGCCCAAGAAGTGGAAATCAACGGCTACTCGTGTTTTGCTGTGATAGAACATCAAATGATCGCGGTGGCATTCTGCTTTACATAAGGTTTTCCTTGTGTGGGAGACTAGTGAGCACCTACTGAAGCGCTGATTGTCTATGTGAGCCGTTATGGTGTTCGATTCACCTCAGACGCTGCGAGATGCTTGTGGGCGTGGTATATCGCAGTCCACTGCGCCACTGTTTAGACTGGTTGCCGCATGTTCGCAACCACATGGGTCGTCCGTTGTCCCTACTCATGGGCGATTTCAACTTACCCCGAATACAGTGGCCTGAGGCTGAACTTCTCCCCGGCCATTGTGAAGTCGAGAGAAAGTTTGCGGAGTTGATATTTGAAACTGGGGCCACACAGCACATCAACCAACCAACGCGCTGACTGTGCGCCCGACTCCATCGTGTTTACACCTGCTTTTGATCACTTGTGAGCACCGTGTGCATGACATTCAAGTCTTGGAGCCCCTGGGAGCGAGTGACCACTCGATGATGATAATCAGCTTGGAACTGCCGCTGCCGTATTCTTCCCCGCTGGAAACAGCCTTCAACTATTGGAAGGCGGGATTTAATGGCCTCACTCGAGCAGCGAGCCAGATGGACTGGTCTTTACCAGAGGATTCGTCTATTGAAACCTATTGGGCTATCATTAAATAGGGAGTGAAATCGTTGTGCGCCCGATTTGTACCCCTCAAGTATCGGAATGTTGGGCCAGTCAAGCCACATCGGTTCGACAAGGAGTACACCAAACTGACCAGACGACGACGCAGACTATGGAACAAATTCGTATTATTTGGCTCTGATGAGGGCTACAAGGCGTACAAGGTACAACGAAATCTGCAACAACGCGAAAACAAAAAAGCGCAGTAGCTTCGAAGAGCACCTTGCACCTGCCGCAAAAACTGCTCCCCAGTGGATCTTCGCCTATGTAAAGCGGCGCCTGAGGCCCGCAGGCAATGTGCCAGTGTTGGAAGGCTCAGATGGACAGCCTTTAACCTTGAGCACAGATCCTGCGTCCGCATTGGCGGCGCACTTCGCTTCCGTATTTGCAAGTGACCAGGTGTCTGTACCGAGTTCGATGATTACCGCTCCCGCTGAACTAGACAGCCTGGATTGCAGCATTGAAGATGTACGCAAGCTTCTGGCAAGTGTTGAGGGTACGAAGGCTGCCGGGCCAGATGGAATCCACCCACTGATCCTCAATTCCCTATCGGCCATCATCTCGCCTTCTGTAACCGAGCTGTTCAACAGATCACTATCCATTGGACTGTTACCGGGCGACTGGATATGCTCAGTCGTAAAGCCAAAACCCCAAGGATGGTAACCCAAGCAAAGTGGATAACTACCGGCCGATCTGCCTGACCGCTGTATTGACAAAGACGCCCGAGAAGATCGTGAGGAAGTCTTCTGCAGCCTCTGGAGTCGAAACACCTCTTGACGCTCGCACAGCATGGTTTCGTGAAAGGTCGCTCGTGCATCACCAATCTGCTGTTGACGAGGCACGAGTGGCTGCGAGCGCTGAACCAAGGCAAGTCGGTCGACCTCATTTACATTGACTTCATCGTCCTACCAGTAAAGAGCAAGTGCATCTTGCCAGTGAGACTGCAGAATTCCCCTAGGATCTGCCTAACCTCCATAATATGACACTTTTTATTGCGCACCTGCGACAACAGCCAGCTGCATACGGGGTTCGTGAGTTTCCATCTTTTTGACCAAGGGCTGCTTGCTTTTAGGTGGATGGTAGCAAACTATTTGACACAAGTGTTGCTTTCCAAAGGTCAGAGACTGCGCATATCACTCCTGTCGTTCGCCAATCGAGACATGAGCTTACAATCTGTCTTGTTGCCTCCCATGATTAAGTTTTAAGGGCGGATGGTTACCGACCATGTCCCAGCTGCCGAAGAGGATGCTGAGTCCGATGCCTTCCCTGTCTGATATGAGTGGCAGTTACGCTCATCGTTGCTCGACAGATCGCGCGGATGCGTCGCGGCCCACTCGGGTCGCAGTGGTGGTTGTGCAGTGATGAACTGCTATACATTCGCAGAGGCATTCCACCAGCATCTTTCTATACTCACTTGTTCACCATCCAACGTGCTGTTCTTCTCAGCACTTATGCCGCGAAATAGTAAACAGCTGTTGTACGCACTATGAATACTGTGCTCCAGCCTTGCTTTATTTGAACGCTTCGAAAGTTTAATAGTCTCCTTCATATTTTACCTCATTCTCGTGTATCTTGTTGGAGCACAACACTTGCCTGTGTTCGGACCAGCTTTTCTTTAGTCATCCGTAATACGGTGACTGACTACACTTCTCTTGCGTCAACATCATTGCAAAACGAGCAGCGCCCATCTCCAACGCTTGCATTTTGGCAGAGAGGTCCTGACACATTATGTTTTCTGTTTATCCAGCCAGTGCTCATCCTCAGCCTTCGTTTTGGAGCCATTGCCTCCACTCACCATTCCTATGCACCATTTTGCATACTATTCGTGTTACATTGTTATGTTGTATGTATTTAATGACTTGTTTCCCCACTTTTTTGATATGTTCTTCGTTCTTCCCAATCAATCTCAAGCATCATCTGTCAGCATGGGTGGCGGCCTAACCTTGCACTATTTTAAACTAATCCTGCTCATCGGGTTGTTTCCTTATATTTTGTGTTCGTTATTTCGTGTAAAGATTTTTGAGTAACTTAACACATTTCAGCACACCTGTGCAGTTGTAGGTTCACCCTGCTACTTCAGTTACCTCCAGCTCTAACTTACTTCATTGTTCTTTCGGTTTCCCTATATTTTGAGTAGTCATCTTACGTCCCCTGCTTGTCGTGTGCCGTATCCGGTCTAGATTCACACCCCGCTTGCCTCTCTTACAATGCTCAGTTCCCAACCACCTGTTACTCGCCAACTGAGCTCCACTGAACTATCCCCCGCCTTATCATCATCTGCCTGCGAGTCACCATCATCTGTGACACCTGCATCGAATCTCACTGCCCCAGATGGTTTCGTTGGACCTCTGCTCTCCGCCACCACCTCGTCCACAACTGTGTCACCCACTCACATGGTATGTATACCATCCATACGTTGGTTTCACTTTTCGTTCTTAGTTCCTTTAGTTTGTTTTTGATCTTCACCCATTTCCATCAGTTTTCTTGCTCACACTGGGTATTTGGCAGTTAGAACCAATGGTCTCTATGTCCGTTCCGTGAAGCTTCCGATTAGCGTTCGTTTATGTTGGTGGTCGAAGTGTTTTCTAGCTCAGCAGCCATCTGAGCGTCTCAATAGCTATATTATTCGTTTTATTACCTGTTCTGTATCGCCCTTGTCTCATCGGTCTTGGGTATCAAGGAAAATCCATCATTAGACTTGACTTCTATAAACCAGTGCGTTGGAATCAATTAGCTGCAACTATTAGTATTACCGGAAGGGATTACTGCCGAGTTAGGTCATTTTCCCCGCTGCTCACCGGGGATAAATTGCGGATTTTCGCTCTCCATTATCATTTCCCATCTGCTCTGCTTAAACAGACAGCATTGTGGTATATATCAACTTACACAAACAATATTAACTTCTTTAAATATGCTTTCATCGAAGGTTTTCGTCTATTCCAGTCATTGCGACTTGGTTTGACGCGATTCTTGACATGCATAGTTTTTGGTTGCATTTCCTTTTAAGCAATGCATTTGGCCTGTTGCTTAACTTGTATCTGTAATTGGAAAACTCGACTAGAGCGGAAAACATCTTATGTTTTGCGAATTATTGCTTATGAAATTAGATTCTGGACTTAGCTTCCAGTTTCGTTGCCTAGCGGGTTTCAGAAATTTCGACAGCCCTTCGATTTGCTTTATAGGCTGCTTCATATGCTGATGTTTTCGCGACCTTGATGCTCCCATCCTCCCCGACATTCTCAATCACATTAACACATTTCACGGAGCTTGCAATTCAGTTGTTTTCCAAGGTATTTTCTTTTTTATGAACCGCTGACCCTGCAGCACCGTATTAGCTCTTAGCGGTGCATAACCGGTAGTTGGATGGACGGACGTCGACAGCACCTTAGCGTGCCCTCTCTCTCTTTGTGTCACCAGCTTTCATTTCTCACATATTTGGTACGACTCTAGCTGCTTGGTGTTTCACGTCAGCATCAACCTCACCTCTCCGATTGGTGATATTGTTTGTAACTCGACTGATACGCATAACATAGGTCTAGCAGAAACAAACCATTGATTTATGTTGGCGCAAGTTCGCATATGCACGCTCACGAAATGGTGGCTTGCCATTTAGTGTGATTCTCTGTTCGAGTTTAACGTATGTAATCTAGTGGTCGCACATGACTTGTATACTTTCATCGTTTGTGTGTATGTCGTGTAGGTCATTTCAGGCGGCTAGTCACATTGGACGAAATCTATCTGTCTGATGCATAACTGGGTTACACGCATTCGAGTCATTTCACCGAGTGTAACACAATCGTCGTATCATATGAATTAGCCATTTCACTCTCATCTCAGTGGCATGTCATACCTCAAAGCCCACTCGGTGACGTCACTTAGTGAGGGCTCTAACATCACTGTTTGTGCTAGGCTGTCGATAGCTACCGATGTTGGTGGTGAGGTACCTACTCTCAGTCCTCCTCTTCATGAAGTCCCGCAACATAATGTTGATCATCCGCTCCCAGGACTACATAGCTCATGGTCCGCATTGGATTCTTCTGTACCCGAGAATTTTGCTCACTCCTCACGTGATTCCGGATTGTCTCTGACCGTCAGTTTAGATCCATTAGACAGAGTTCGCCTGTGGCTCTCTGCTTCACTCCCTCCTCCATATCGCTTTCCTACTGGGGATGTTGTGCGCTATTTTTCAAGCCGTTCATGCCCCTCTTTATCATACTCGACCACATCAGTGGAGTTTACCGATTGTTCTCCTTCCGTTGCTCAGATGCACACAACCGTTGATACCCCTTCCAATGTTAACGAGGCATTGTCGGTGCCCAGCAGTGATCCCACTGAACCGGTGGACACCAATGTGGCGCCGTCTACCCCACCAAACTGCCCGGTTGATGCGTCGGATTCGACCAAGGTGGATTTGGCTTTAACACATTTGAAGCTGCACCAGTTGCAACAGGACGTGCTTCAACTGGAAAAGGCGATCCAAGCAAACAGAACTTCATTTAAAAGTACGTCGAATTTTGTTCATTTCATTTGCACATTTGTTAAACACATCTCATTTCCATCGCCACCATTTTTTCACAGTTACTTTATTTGCTTCAACTAAAATTCCAGTAGCAAGTACATCCCTGTCATTTATGTACCAGCTTCGGTGGATACTGCATTGCGGCGTTTTTTCTCAGCTTCAGTTACTGAATGCATTCGTGCAATTTTCCACTACATTTTGCCATTCACTTTGCCGACCCCACCTTTCCATCCCTTTTCATTTACACAAAGTCGACCAGTAGCCAAAAGGATTACGAGCCTTGCCTTGTAATTCCCTAGGTGACCGGCTTCGAATCCGCGTGGATGTGAGCAACTTCCCCATGTACCCAGACCATGCGCGACTGGTGGTCAGCGCTTGATAGCGAAGCGCCGGTACGGTGTACCGGCGCTTCGTTGCTGACTCATTTTTTCTTTTTTATTTAAACAGATACTTAACTAATTTCAGCATTAAAGTTTCAAGTTATTTTTGCCACGTCACTGCTGACGGAGTTGAAAAACTATGATCCCAGCACCGAGGTGCGCTGGATCCAGTTGCCACGACTCAGTTCGCAAGAATGCCTATAAATAACAACGGTAAGATAGGGGTTAAATGGAACTACGATGTAAAAAAAATAGAAGCAAGAAAGGTGGTGCGTTAAAGTAAGTAGAATGGAATGAAAATTAACAGCTAGATACAAGAAACCGAATGCACGAGCCTCATTGACTGCGTGACTGCGACATGTCTGATACGGTCTCAAACCATTGGTGTGGACCATCCCGACGCCCCATTTACGAAAGCGGCACGCACCAGCCTGACGAAGTCTCTCAATCAATTATAACAAAATTTTCAGTACTCATCAACAATTTCCCTATGCCTCTATTCGACGTCATGGGTTGGCCATCTCGCGGTTACCGCCAACTTAGTGCGGCCATGGCGTATAATGCACGCCGAGGAACCGGGTCCAATCAACATACAGAGGACATGGCATAGCCAACGTAAGCGATTGGGATTCAACAAACACCCGAGTGGGGAACCAGAAGGCTTCTTACCAAAACCAACTGGCGGACCTCACTGTTGCTCATCCGGTGTTCCTACCAAACGTGACCATCGCAATGAGACTGGACCTTACCGTGGTGCGATGGTTTCCGTGCCACAATGATCCATTGAGCTGTGCTGGCTGGTGCATTTTCCATCTTCAGAATTACTCATACCGGATTGGTCAGTTGTTAGAGGCGAGACAAACTCAGCCTCCTGGTCCTCCAGATGGGGGGTGGGTGGGGGTGGAAACCTTGTAGCCCATTGCCAAACCCGCTGCCTTGCGGTCATGTTTTTGAGCCAAAGGCTTTGGTTGAGAACCCCAACTGTTCTCCTGTCTAGGCCTGTGCAACGTGACAATATCCTGTCCGCTCAATACAACTATGAACTTCTCCACGTGATTTCTTGATGTTCCGGTCGTCGCAGAGGATAAAACAGGGCGCCCCTTCTGTTGCATCGAACAGGGTGGACGGGAGTTTGGATGCTACAGCTCGTGCCTTCTTGTTTCCATTTTCTTTGCATTCCATTTGCCTTCAACCACATTATCTTGCCGTTGTTGTCAACTGTTATCCTTGAGATGTGGGTCGTGGCAACTGGATCCACCGCACTTCGTTGCTCGGACCACAGTTGTTCAACTGACCTGAACTGACTTGACAGACTTAATCTGACCCCTAACCATTGACCTGTCTGGTATGAATGCCTCTGAAGGCTACCAGCGCCACCCAGCGTAGGTAAATGGGTCACGGCGGTACGCAAACAATCGCACTATACTAAGGTCCAGTCTCGTTGCGATGGTTGCTACTCATTACTCGTAATGCCGCCCCTCTACACTTCACCTGAGCTTACAGTTATATGCGTAACCACTTTTGATTTTGATTCGCTTTCTCCACTTATTAACTCTTTGTGTCCCTCATATATTGATGTCCCTTAGCTGAGTTTCATGTGTTTGTTAGCGATGCCCTTTCGTCAGTTCTGGCACTCTGAGCCTTTTATCATAAATTTGACTTTGATCTTGACAGCGATGTTCATTATTTATAACGGTCCGTATTTCAGAGCGACAACGAATGCTCCCACTTCGTCATCAGTTGATGATCCGCAGTGATTTGACGGATTTCGGTGTGACCTTTGTTTTGCTTGCTACAGTGCAGAAGCTAGCCTTGCCTTACTGGTGTTCTCTTCTCATGTACCAACTTACGAACTTTCGGTATGTTAAAGATAATGGGGCTCTTACAACTTCCTACATGTGTAACGCTTGGCACCCAACTGTCGATTACCAGGTTGGCACTGGTGCTGTACACCTCGCTATGTATTTCACGCTTTTGCTGGCAATTCAGTTGAACATTTTCAGTCTCAAATGCGCAAGCCGGTTAGTTTCGATACTCAATCAGTTGCGTTTAGAAACACGGTAGTCTTCAATCGCTTCCGTGTTTGCAGTGCGGGTTTTTCTGCACCAGCACTGTGTAAGGAGGGTGATCATGTCCTGTGCTTGAGACGGACCCACCTTTTCGAACAGATGTGAAATAACGAGACTATTCCGGCCAACTAAATCGATTATACTGGCAATATTTATGAGGGGAAGTTGCACAGTTTATGATAACCACAGGGGCAAGAATCCAACCCCACTGGCGCTAAATTTCCCGGCCTCATTTCCGTCAATCGCTTTGTTGCATAACTGCAGAGGACGGAAAATCATGCCGATTTTCTTCCGGACTTGACTGTATAGGCCATCTATTTTCTCTGCGGCAGTTGTTACAACACGGTCGATAATGGCTGTGTTCTTTGGTTTCGAAAAGGGAGTCGATCGCCCTATGCTCTTCGATTCGCCTTCACCGAAAGTTGTCACCATTAAAATGAGCACTCTACGCAACTTGCACTACAGTTTGTGTCAGAATGTTAAGTGCGTTCGCAGACACCTTTTCAACAGGGATTGTTCGTCTGGGCTGTCCAGGTCCCTACTTTTTCAGTGTTCTCTTGGCTTCGTTTATGGAATGTGTCATTGCGGAATCTTGTATTCTGGGCATGAAATGCCGTCTGGTGGTAGGGTTGCTTATTTGGATTATGAGGATGCATCATGTAACCGTTTGATGATCGGGATGGTTTCCTCACTTGTCATGTGCTGTTACAAGCTCACGAGGAGGAAGTTGGGATAGTTGAAGGATGCATCTATCTCAGAAGTCACATTAGCAATGATAGCTGCATGGTTGCTGAAATGAGTCCACATTTCTCGAAAGTTCGCAATACCACCTTGAACGTGCGATCTGTGTGGCGCCGGAAGTGGATTTCCCTAGACGTTAGAGGCCGCGTATGCTATGCCACAATGTAAGTCGTTCTCCCGTACAGCAGTGAGACCTATCAGCTTCATTTTGAGAATCTAAGGGCCTTCTATTATATAGGGGTATTTAATTAAAGTGCGAGAAACGTCTTAAAATAGGAAGAGATCAGTATCTACAGAAATGATAATGCTCTTTGTGAATATATATTGGTGACAATCTTTGGCTTTCTACATATTTTTGGTCCATATTTTAATATTTCATCAGCTGACTTGTCGGATGAGAACATAGTACCAGCTGGAAATTGCTTGTTGCCCGCGCGAAGACACCGCACACCACGCCGCGTTTTGAGCTTATTTGGTCTCATCAGATGGCGATAACATGCCTCGAACTCGGAACCGCTGGGTTATTGGCCGAAACCATTAACTCTGGCTACCGGATCACGACGAGCAAGCTTGGCACAACAGTTAAAGACTGATTGGAGGATCATTTTGAGGAACTCGTTCTGTGAATGGATTGCGACTCGAATCCTGGACGTTTGGATGTCAGCTGGTAACCTCTACCGCTTAGCCATCTAGTCCTCAGGGTATACAACACTGCAAAAGGGGCGTGATTGCATTAACTATATAGTTGAACACCTATGATCACTGTTGTTTGTGGAGTATGGCGTACAAAAGGCAGCAGAATCTATTCAAAAGCGCGAACACGTCGGCAGTTCGATGAGGAGCTTGCAACCTCAGTGAAGACGGCCCCCAAAAGATTTTTTCTTACCTGAAGCGGTGCCTGAGGCCCGCAAGTGACCTATCTGTGTTAGAGGGCACTGACGGGCCGCCTCTGACCTCCAACACTGACCGTGCGTCCGCATTAGCAGAGCACTTCGCTTCCGTATTTACAAGTGGGCATGCGCCTATGCCAAGCTTGACGTGTACAGCCCCTACTGAACTCGAGGGCCTAGATTGCGGTGTAAATGTCCGCAGTCTACTCGACAGTCTTGACGGCACGAAACCTGCTGGACCCGATGGACTTCACCCGCTAATTTTGTAGTCCTCATCGGCCATCATCTCGCCTGCCGTGACGGATCTGTTCAAAAGATCGCTGTCCGAGGGTGCATTGTCGAGTCACTGAAAATGTTTGGTAGTACAGCCGATTCCGAAAGGCAGTGATCCACGCAATGTGGACAATTACCGGCCAATTTTTTCACCTCTGTTTTGGCGAAGGTGCTCGAGAAGGCTGTGAAAATGGGTCTTCTCCAGCTGTTGGAGTCGAAAGATCTAACACCGGCCCAGCACGGCTTCATGATGGGCCGGTCGTGCATCACCAACCTGCTGTTGACGCGGCAGGAATGGTTGCAATCGTTGAATCGGGGGAAGTCATTGGATGTTATCTACATTGATTTCAGTAAGGCTTTCGATAAAGTGAACTATGAGGTCCTGCTTCACAAGCTGAGAATGTATGGTGTTGGTGGCGCACTGCACCAGTGGATCAGTGACTTCCTTATTGGGAGAAGATGGCGGATACAGGTGGGTGATCACCAAACGGATTGGTACCCCCTCCACTAGCGGTGTACCCCAAGACATAGTGCTGGGGCCCATTTTATTCCTGATGCACATAAACGAAGTGCTTCAGCTTCTTCGGTCGCCTTGTGCACTGTTTACAGACGACTTGAAGCTTTGGAGGGTTATCGATTCTCCAGACGTCTGTGACGTCCTACAGCAGGACCTCGACCGCCTATCCTGGTGGTCTGCAGAAGTCGATCTGCCGGTCAGCCCGGTCAAGTCGTCATTTATGAGCCTGGGGAGGGGTGGTAATGGGTGTGCGCACACCTTAGCTGGCCAATCGCAGCATCCAACAGGATCTAGATGTACTCTCACGATGTGATCTGAATTCCGTCGACAACACGAACAGACTGTATGGAACCGGACTACGCTTGCTTTAGGCACGTAGAAGCAGCTTCTGCACTTGGTCTGAAGAGATTGCCGCCTGTCTTTTCTCTTCCCTGATAAGACCGATGCTTAAGTACGGCTCATCCGCCTATTGTCCTGTCACAATAGGTGGGGTGCAGAGACTGGAACAGGTCCAGCATATAGCCACCTGGCTCATCCCAAGTTTACGAGGTATGTCGTACGAGAACCGATGTTGGAGACTAGGGCTTTATTCCCTGTCCTGTCGTCGGTTTCGAGTTGATCTAATAAGAGCGCACCGTATATAGCAACCGTGCCATTTCGTCATGTTGTGGCCGCTGCTGTACATTCGCGCACCAAGCAGCACACGTGGACACCCGTGCCAACTAGTGGTACCGGATTTAAAACGCATCGCTCACCCTCTATGCTTCGAGCGTCAAGTGGATAAATAGTGGAACAAGTTGCCAGAGACAATAGTCGAGGCGAAATCAGTGTCCGAATTTAAGACATTCCTTGACGCACACTTTGCGCATCGCACCCAGATAAGATGTACTGCAGCTACAAGATGCTGCCACCGCGCAAGAATCAGCGACGTAATTCGGCACATGTACCTGATCCACTTACGATGGAGCAACCAGAGCTATTCTCAGTATTCACAACTTGTGGAAACACTGTGTCGCACCGCATCGCCCACTAAACTTTAATCACCTACGTGGGCTAGGTCATATTCTTCGCATGCCCTTTGACCGGCATTCTCGGTGTGCATTTCCACTGCCGCCGATCGTATATTTACGAATCTGCGAGGCCACCAATCTAGGTGTGGTATGGAGAAATTGACTGGGATACTTCATGGGGCTAGTGCTTGTTTTCCCCGTAAGTGAACCGCATCGGTGATTAATAACGTTGTCGGAAATTGTACACTTGCGCAGCCAGTGGCATTCCTGCACGCTGTTTCTGGCATCTAGCCATCTGCATTCCTTCTCAACTAGCTCTACTTCTCTCTAGCCACTTTGTACTTTGTCTACTTTCGGTCTCATATTCCTCTACTGTTGTTTATTTTTATATTGGAAACGTGTGTCGTGGCAATTGATTCAGCCGACAATCGGTGCGCAGCCCATAGTTATCTTATTCGACTGAACTGCGTTCCCGTCACACCTGAGCATTTACTGAACTGCGAACTTGGCACTGTTCAGCTACCATTTCATTTGGTGTCCCCGCACTGGCCGCCGCCTCTTATTACCGTAGACTCAATGGTGATAAAATTTATTATTCGTTTCGCTTGCAATTTCCAAATCGATCACTACTTAGTACAAATGCAATCTTCGGCATTGAATTATCATCTTATTTTACTACAGGGACGGATGTTCTCAGTTAAGGTGAGCCACTTCGACTTCGTATTTCTGGTTTATCAGTTGGTCACCTGACAGAACTCTTGCTCTAGGAGTGTCTGAGTGCACAGTGTCATTTATGATCCATTCGATCGCGCAGCCGCAAAAGTATGGGGATGTTGGGTCGGCCGGTGGCCGACTGGTTTGCGCGCTTCGTTTGCAATCATAAGGTCACTGGTTCGAATTCGCGTAGAGGTAGGCGTCCTCGCGGTATACTCAGCCCGCGCGACTGGTGGTCTTTGCATGGCAGCGAAGCGCCGTTACGGCCTACAGCTGGCAATTTATTATTATTATTATTATTACTCGGGTGCCAACTTCTTGGTTCAGACATTTGCGGTGAAGTTGTGTCAGGGATAACTGTTGTTCACCTGCGGAGCTCTTCAAAGGTACGCACTGCCACAATCTTGTGTTATTAACTTAGCCAAAGCCAATCAGATTAAGAGATCTTGATGTGAGTCACAGATATATTACAGCATTTGAGAGAACATGCGGTTGTAATCAATCCAGCACCTTCAATGAGGACAAGCTAATAACTTAAAATTAATAACCATACATTTTTATCCCGATAACTTGACCGCCGAGTCCTTTGGTCCCTTATCTGGGGCTCCTAGTCAGACGTCTTTCCATGGTGTTACGGACAAGTTGAAACTGAATGTCCGATTTTGAAGTTAGTTTGTATATATAGCGAACGGAATTCACCCAGGGTCAGTGGACAAAG